GATAATTCGAATAATAATAATAAACGAATGATAATAATTTGAATAATAAATGAATGATGATAATTCGAATAATAAACGAATGATGATAACAATTCGAATAATAAATGAATGATGATAATTTGAATAATACTAATAAACGAATGATAATAATTCGAATAATAAACGAATGATACAATTTAAATAATAAACAATTCAAACAAAACGAATGATCGAACAAAAAATTTACTATGAATAGAAACTCAGCACTATTGAAGAGTCACTAAATCTGGCACAATAATGTTCAAACTAAACTAAATCGCTATATACAACTATACTACTTGGGGTGTCCCTACAAGAAATATAGTATAACTAATAAAAGGGATCGCTAACTAATAATTAAAGGTTGGCCAACCATTAATCATCAGAAAGGTTATGAATAAATCAATCATGCCAGATTTTATTAATTAATTATAGCCTGGGACTATTTTTACGAAAGTGTTGTTTTTATTGCCAATGTGATAGGATCGAAAGATCAATTATTATTAATTTTTTTTCACTGAAGGAGATTTCAAGCATATTTATACTTCTTCGAAGTATTACAAATAGCATGACTTTTTACATTGATTTTGTCCAATAAAATAAAATAAAATAGAATGATAATTGACAGTTAAATGTCAAAAATGCATCATTGATGCCTGACAAAATGTTTTTGTGGCAAGTAATTATTTTGTCATAATTAATTAAAAATAATAATTTTATATTAACTTTTTGGTTTGAAAATATTATTAAACAAAAAAATCATGAAATATGGCAATGTGACCCTGGACACATTGGTATTACACTAACTCCATTCAATTCATTAATGGCAAAGAAGACTTTGATGAACATTTCTTTGAAGTCAACACAACACACATCAGGAAATTTTCCGTAATATTATGTCCATAAATTTTAATATGTAAAGTTGTAATATTTGGCATAAAAATTTATGTAATATTATATACCAAATGTAATAATTGCATAGATTTTGTATAATTTTTTGCATAATATTATGGGACCTGCCATAAACTTACGTAAATAGTGTATCAGAAAAAATTCCTGATGCAGCTTTAATGGGGCAGGTTTTTAGATTATTTTTGCAGGAAAATCAATTAATTGGTTGAATAAGTCCTGTGCTAAAGATAAATCTGTTTTGATTGATTGATTAATCACTGATCAAATGGACTGATTAATTGAAAAAAAACTTTCCTTTTATTTATCAGATCAACTCACTTATTTTATTTATCAAAAAATTATGCTGTTGATTCAGGATTAAAAGATCACAACAATCATGATTGTTATATTTGTAGTCCATCATATTTAAATATTTTTAGTTCTCAAACTCATACTAAATAAAAAAGAGTATTGCTTGAAAATATTTCTTTAAATGAAATCTCATCAGAAGTTCAAAATGCTCAAAATCTTAATGATGAATCTAACTCATTACAGCAAGGATGCAGTGCTTAGAATAATAACTCAACCATTAGTAAAGATTTGGATAAAATTGATAGATATTTAGATAAGACAATAACACCAATTCCTGACAAAAATATCACGGAATATGTATTTATTAATAGGGTAGGAATAGTTAGTTGTATTACTTAAAGTGGTTTCTTTCTCTTCGATTTGTTCAAAAGAACCAAGAATCACTTCTTGAGTTAGTATACTTAATTGATATATATCCCTCTGTCATCAATGTCAAACCAAAAGATCATTTGTCAACATCGTCATCATCTCTGATCATTTGCAATATTTTCTATTAAAGTTGCAGCATTTTCGATTTGTACCTCATAATCTGAAGGAAGAATACCAATTTTCATCAACAATAATTAATAGTGACATTTTTCCGGGCCTCTTTAACAAATTTTATTGCCTATTACTATTATTATACGATTTACGGAAAATGTAAATTATTATTATCATTATGTAACATCAGCCGATTTGGTTTTTTAAACCCTTTTTTCAAACCTTCCTTATATCTTATTGTGTCTCGACGTTAAACACGAATATTTTTAATGTGTAAACTGGCCAGTAGAATGATAATTAATCCTAAACAAATTTATTTTCTCCGCTAAAAAAAATATTTTACTATTTAACAGCTTGCCAAACCAATGGCTCCACATCAAAACCAATGGGTTTTTTCTAGTATAAAGTATTCATAACGTTATACTGAATTTGGGGTCCAAACAAAATCAGCGCATATGTATACAACATTGCATTAATTAAATTTTCTCTTTTCCAAAAAAATGGATCTATAGTAAACGATCAGAAAGAATCGTTACGCGACCATCATCATCATCATCATCATCATCATCATCATCATCATCATCATCATCATCATCATCATCATCATCATCATTATTCGATATTGTTAAAATAAAAAATTTATTATTGCGAAAAAAAAAATTTAGACATGTTAGCCGAATTGATTAATTGCAGGTGGGCTTTTTTCTCATTAATACAAATGTATTTTCCATTCAATATTTCATCAATAGCTCCTAACTGGTTTACCCAACTTTAATATATTATGCGGGACACCTTCCACTTCCCTCGACTATTCGTAATTACTATTTTTTGCCAAGTAAAGTTTAACGATCAATATTTAGACTAGACAAGCTCTTAAAAATAATAGTTCACATTGTTGAACGTTTGAATATTAAACTTTTAAACTAGAGCTTGAACTAATGGTTTCTAACGTTGCTCAGGCTCTCTGATTATACGTATTGACTCATGGGCAGTCGATCTTTTGTCGCGTTTGAATAATATCGATAAATATTTTGAGGGTACATTGTTGTACAAAGGAAACCCCAAAAAAATTTTTTTGGATGATAGGTTTGTTAATAACCAGAGATTTTTTTTGTTAACTTAAAAATTTTTTTTTATATAAAATAGCCTAAACATCAATCAACATTATAAATAATAGATATAGAAATCGAAACATGAAGTGAATTTACCATGTACTGTATTTTTACATTATATAGCGATGGCCGAGTAATTAATTATAAGATTATTTATCATGATAACAAATGATTGCTATATTTATTTTGCATGATCATTATTAACATTAAATAATTATAACAAGTGTCAAGGAACACGGCTATTGAAGATCTCTACCTCTCTCTGATGGAAAACTGGAAAATCTGGAAACACCAAAAAATGATCCGTTTGATTATTGGAAATTTATTTACAGACATCAAAGTGTATCTTCAAGGCTCAATATTTAAAAGCTAATGGAAGAAAGTAAGTTCTTACTGAATTTCAAAAGGATACACCGAGTTGCAAGATATTTTACTTAACTCGTGAAATGTTAAATCAAAGTAGAGCAGTTGCATCAACAATAAAAAGCTGTATGAGAGAAAATAGTCAACAAGATTTGTTATTGATGAAGCTCATTGTATTAGTCGATTTTAGACCAGCTTATAAGGAAGGAGTTATGTAACTTGAAAAAAAAAAATAATAATATAAAGACATTCATTTCTATTATTGCTTTAATTGCAACTGCAACCAGTCGAGTAAAAACTAAATAATGGAGATTTTAAGGATTCAAAATTCAACAACAAGGATTTAATCAAAAAATACTTAACATGAAATCTGTAATGGTAATAAAACGGATAAAAATCTTGTAAACTACTTAATCGTCATAAAGTGAGTGTTGTAGAATTTGTTGTTGGACTAAAAAGAATTGTAAAGTAGTCACAGAGTACCTAAAAAGTTCATTATTTTCTGTTACGCAGGACCAGTAAAGAAAATTAGAACAAATATACAAAATAAATAAATGGCAATATGGAGAGACTTGCACGTCATTGTTGCAATCACAACTTTGGAATTGGTAAATATTGATACGCGCGTGAATTTTATAAATTTACTAACAAGAATTACATTAATTTTTTTACCTTTGGCAATATTTATATATATAAAGGTATTGATAAACCTAATGTACAATTCGCGATTCAATATACATTGCCACAACCTTTAGAATAGGGGTTAAAACTGGTCAAAAACCTTAGCTGGTTAATTATGTATAAAATAAAATATTTATTTGTCAAAAAATTTAATATTAAAATCGAAAATCAAAATCAAATACGTAATAATAAGTTATAATTTATAATTTTAATAATGCCTCACGAATATATTATATAGTCCCAATTTACAATATGTGATCGTGTCCATTCCATTTGCAATAATTATTAGACCTGATGAAATAATAATGGTGAAGTTAAGATTAAAGATATGGACAAGGTGTTGGAGGTGTGCTTCAATTAGACGCAGTGAAATGATTAAATAATTAAAACAACGTGTAGAAAAGAAAGTTAATGTTATTAACATAAGAAAGAATTTGATATCAATGTTTTTGTATTTTTCATTATCAAAATCCAACAACACGTGGGATCACATATAAATTAGTGTGTCGATCCTTTTCGTTTATCATGGATTGCAAAATTAAATATAAAAGTGATCTACATTTTAACCGGTTCTAACTCTAAAAGGTTATTATTATGATTCGTAATCGCATTACAATTCGACCAATTGCCAAATTCACGAGCTTTAGAAAGTGGATAATTTTATTAACAATTTTAAACTATGATAAAAAAATCTAATAACTTAAAACCTTCTAATTTAAATGACATTATTAATACTAGCTCTGACTTTCTGCTTGTAATATCCGGAACATTCAACAATTTCTATGTTTAGTTAGACCGACAGAATAAACTTCATAGATATTGTTTGGGCATATCTGTTTCAAATATTTTTAAATTATGTGTCTCCCGTATTTTGAGATTTATCTTCTTCAGGAAGGAAAAAAAAAAAAAAAAAAAATGCACAAATCAAATCGTATACATTTTCTTCTGCCAATTTTCACAATTTTATCATTTTTTGGTCCAGGTTATCAAATCATTTCGATATTCACACAATTATGGTTTACCTTATCAATTTATTATGTTCGTAACGTAACTTCAAGCTTGTGGCTATTATTGTATTATTTCATGAACAGTATTGGAGGAACACTTGCATTTTGGGGCTCTTACCATAGCGAAGAGACCCCCTTTAAGTTTATTATCTTTATTTATGCATTACTTCCTACGTTGTATGCGAATTTGATAATTTTGATTGCTTTAAGTATAGATAGATGGTATGAAATTTGTTTCAAAGAGAAGAAGAAAAGCAATGATGATTATGATGGCAGTGATGATAGTGATATTAATGGTAATGATGGTAGTAATAGAGGATGGATTAAATCATTAGTGTTTCCTTGTGCTTGGACAGGTATGATGATAATATTTGGTTTTTTTTAGTCTAATAATCGATTAAAATGATTTTGTAATTTTTAGGTGCTTGGACTTTAGTTGTTTTTGCTTGGCCACTTGGTGATTATTATAATTATGCGTGAGTTTTGTCAATTAACAAAAATTTTAAATAAAACCGAGTATATAATATTAAAGATATAAATTTATTGTTTAGACATATATTTTTAGGAAATGATGAAATGATGCAATTTGCTTCATTTGCAGGATTAGGTGGGTTAAACTTTATTTTATCATGGGGAGGAAGTGTGAGCGCGGATTTTATCAAGAAATATCAAGAAAATGATTTGATTGTTAGAATTCAAAAACCATCATCGCCGTTACCATCGCCGACACCAGATAGTTACGAAGATCACCAAAATTGTTGGATAACAACAATTGAAACCCCCCCTCCAAATGAAAATAATAATGACGATAAGCCTCCTTTCACATTCAAATTTACAAAGTCGTTATTGATCTATCTTTTGGTATTATTTATGATTATTCTATATGGATCAATAAGAATTTCGACTTCTTATATACCATTCTATCAACAAAATATTGCATCATTTACACCATCCAACTTAACCAGGGTTGGGTGTGTCATCAAAGGAAATGACCCTTTTGATAATGAAGATTACGTTAACAGAACGATAGAATTAGCGAGTAATAACAATAAACTGATTTTGTGGTCAGAGATAACGGGAGTTGTAACAGAACAGAAAGATTTGGATGATTTGATGGCGAACATTAAAAATATTTCAGTTTCTTACAGCACTATTATTGGATTTACATTTCTCGATGGTATAGAAAAAGACGAAACTTATAATAGGTTGATAGTTGTGACACCAAGTGGAGAAGTGGCAATTGATTATAGTAAATCTCATGTAATACCGATGCCGACGACATTTGTAAAAGGAGACAATCGATTACAAACTTTTGAATCAGATGATTTTGGAGTGATAGGAGCGGCTATTTGTTTTGATTATAATTTTCCTGGCCTGATTGGTCAGGCATCTAAGAAAAATGTTGATTTTATGTTGGATCCTTGTTGGAATTGGGTATATATATTTATAATAATTATATGTGTGTGTGTGGTGTGTGTATGTTTTTCTCCAATTATAAACAATATTCTAATTATATACCTCACATTTTATATCTTGTTTAAATAGGGTGAGTGAATTTTTTTCCTTGTATATAATAAAGTATATACTTATTAATAACAACGGTAATAATATATATAATAGGACCATCAGGAATCCATTATTCTCGTGTAAATGTTTTTAGAACAATTGAAAATGGATTTAGCTTGATGAAATGTAGCAGATACGGAGTATCAGGTGTTTGGAATTCCAACGGGCAAGTTTATAATGCAATACCAACATTAAGTAATTTAACGATATCATTTGATTTTCCATTTAAAAAACGCACTAAAACTGTTTATGGGGTATTTGGTGAAAGTTTGGGATGGATTTGTTTAGGTTTGACTTCAATCATACTCTGTTTATTATTATTTTTTAAAATTTCTAGACAAGAAAATATTAAAAAGAAAATAAAAAAATGGATATAATTTTTATTGTATTTTAAACATTTATGTTTTGTAAAATTAATACTTGTTAGAGATGTGCCATATGTTAGCTGAGATCCATTTATTATAAACACTGTTCTCCTCTCCCAACTGAGATTTTGATCTGTAAAAAATTTTATTTGGTGTTACTAAAATAGTAATAACACCGTTAAAGATACTCTTTCATCTCAAACAGCTAGCTTTCTTTCAAAATAATTGATCCTGAACGGCCCTTGTTTGACCCAAATCTTAGTCATAAAATTCCCCCATCACTTAATTCTAATTTTGATTTCTTACCATCAGATTTTTAATTCTCTTAATTGAAATTTGTATGGTCGATCTTTTATCCCTAACATGGACAGGTGTGACGTGGTAAAGGCGCAGAAACTCCACTATTATTATTGGGCAAATCTTGAAAAGAAAAGGTTACTGTGCCATTGCCCACCCCTCCTTTTTGAAAAGTGAAAGATTCAAATGGAAATGAATTCGTAATTTGCAAATTAAATTAGTCGACTAAAGAATTTTTGACCAACTAGTGTTGACTAAGGATTTTTTGGACGATTCCAACCTCTCATATAGCTGGTCCTGATTTAGTCTTTTTAATCTGTTTTTGTGATTGTACCAATCATCTGTCAAGTTAAGGTTCTTTACACGTTTGAGTAGGGCTTTGTCTTCAACTGACCCTGATGTATTTTACAGGGATAAAAATGGTATCATACGGATTTTAGTCACATACCAGCTAACCACCATTTGTCACGAATAATTATCCACAAGGAACACGACAAAAATAAAAATCAAGTCATGTTATTGGGATCAAAAAAGCAACGATTAAGCAAATATAATTAATTCCTTATTACAATCAAAAAATGAATAAAATTGTTTTAGAAAATGAAATCGCAATTTGGTTCTTTATATTATTTCTCATACAGTCCAACACCTAACTATAGAAAAACTTTTTTTTTAAATTATCATCCTATTTAAAAACTTTCGGTATTGAACGTGCAAATATAAATAATTTTATTATGTATATATATTATATATGTTACAGTAAGTTCTTACAAACTAAAAAAAAGGACTTGTTAAAATATTAAAAATTTTTTTTCAAGATGATGATTGTTTTTCCTGTTTCTCATTTTTCTTTTTTTCTGCATGTTCTTTAACTTTTCTATCCATTTCTTTTTTCGCGTAATCTATACGTGGCACTAATTGATCATGATCAGCGAGTGTCCGAAGAATATTGTATATTAAAGGAATAAAGTTATGTTTACGTAAAGCATTTTCACGTTCGTAACGTTTAAATTTATATTTTTCAGCTTCAAGTTTTTGTAAATACACTTCTTTTTCTTGATTTAATCGTAATATTTCTTCTGTGTTGTCATTGTTATTATGATTAGCAGCAATAGTGATAGCAATATCAATCGAACGAATATGGTCTGTGTAAATTGTTTCACGGTTCTTAATCAATGCCATTAAATTAAACTTAACTTCTGCTGAGGCATAATTTGACATCCTTTCCTGTATCACTGGACGTACTTTTTCGAGCCAATCATTTTCAGTACATGGACCTAAATTAAAAATCAAATCAATGTATTATATATATATATATATATATATATCATATAATTTGATTTGATTTTTCTTAAAAATAAAATTTGTTTAACCTAAATTGACTGGTCCAGTACTTAATCCATCCAGTTCATATAATGCACCATTAACTGGAACATAAGATATAAAATGAAAAATATCGTCTTTATCAGATGTTGATGGTTGATTTTCCAAAAAGAAAGGCTCAGAATTAGCAAAACTATTGTGCACAGTACGAATAAGATCACTATTCGTAATTGCAAAACCTTTAGACTATCAAAAAAAAAAATAAATTAAAAATAAGTTAATGTAATTTATTTTTTTATTATTATTAATAAAAAGAATTCACTTACCTGTGAATCAAAATCCTTTGTGAAATCTTTAAATTTTTGTAACTCTGGACCTAAATCAATCCCTGGACAATTTAATAATATAGACAAAATAGCTTGGGTAGCGCATGCATTATTAATTACCTATTAATTATTTTATATTTTAATAATATTTTCGTATATCTGGATTTATATATGTGTGTGTGAATTTTTTTTTTTTTTTTTTTTGAAAAAAAGCTTACTTGTTTTGCAAAATATACATTTTCGTCTAAACTTAAATCTGCCTCAGGATGTAATTGAGAACTATCATTACCACCCTGCCATTTGAAAAGAAAAATCAAACCATAAACAGGTCTAACGTTATATATCAATTATTAACAAACAAATATATATACATTTTTAACAAAAAAAAATAATGTTAAATCTCATTTTTTATTTTCATTTTTATTTATATATATATGGACAAATACTTTAGATCTTCGAGAGTTTGGTTATCTAAACTCCATACTTCTTCAACTTGAACATCTTTGACTTCAAATGCTCTAATTAATTCGGTAAAAACACCTAGCACAAAAAAAAAAATTAAATTTTAAAAATAATCTTTGAAAAAAAATTTTGATAGTTTTATTATTGATTATATTGATTATTTACCCTGATGAATTGTTTTTTTTGTTTTTTTTATTATTAAATAAAATTTAATAACGATTAAATTCAAAGAATTAAATAAAAAAAAGGAAAGATTGATAAATAACTGGGTCACTTTCGATAAGGCACCAAGTTCCTGTATCTGTCATTTTTTTTTTTTTTTTTAAAGAAAATTTTATTTTTTGTGTAAATTGATCTACATAATCAGGTCCCCGAAAAAAAGTGACGATAAATTTATATTCATGTGGATCATTTGTGACAATTTATAATTTTTTATCTTTTCCTCGATTTCTTTTTTTTTTTTTTTTTAAAAAATCTTTTAAACTAAAAATAAATGGGCAGAAAACAAAAAAACGCAAATAAAATCCTGACAACTTATCCGATCCCTTCGGATTCACAAAAAATAGTTCGAATTCTAAATAATCGTGGGAAAAATTTGTTTGAGATAGAGTATCCTGATGGAACAACAACATTATCTATTTTACCATCGAAATTTAGAAACATTGTGTGGGTTAAGCGTGGTAATTATTAAAACATCAATAGAATAAATAAAAAGATAGAATAATTTTTTAACATAAATCAGGATACAAAAATTAGGAGGTTATGTTATAATGTCACCTGTAGAATCTGATAATAAAATTGGGGGAGAAATCATACATGTCTTATTACCTGAACATGTCAAAAATTTAAAATCTGAAGGAATTTGGTAAATTTTTTATTTATTATTCAATGGATACTTGATTCATCAATTGGTTGGATAATAGATGGTTATATTCAATTGAATAATTGTTTTTTTTTTAAAAAAAGGCCTAAAGAATTTAAGAATAAAGATGAACCTTTAATTGCAAATAATGATGGTGATAATGATAGGTAAAAAATCAATTTTAAAAATATTTTGATCTTGACATTTAATATTTAAATTGGATAATAATGATCTTATTTCTTTTCGAGTAGGTTAAGTAGAGATGATGATTCAGACAATGATATATTTGTAAATCTTAATCATATCAATACAGAAGAAGAAAGTGATGATGAGAACCCTATTTATTCCTCTTTAAATATATAAATTATATTAATTTATTCATTCATTCAATTAATCAATTAATTGGTTGTAAATTTTAGAAATGTCTTGAATTGTGTGGCACAAAAGCTTGAATCATCTACAGTGCTATAAATAGAAAACATCAAAATAAATTTAATAAAATTTTAAAAATTTTAAAAAGATATCAAGTCAAAATTTCATTTTATAAATTATCATCACCAAAAAGAAAGGAACTTGTAACTAAAATTTATAATGAAATGTTTAATAGAAAAAGGCTAAAAGATAAATTTTTTTCAATAGTAAAAAAAAAAAAATAAGGAGCTTTCTGAAACTGAAAAAACAGTGTTGTAAAAAAAAGTTTATTTATGATATTGAATTACATAATCCAAGAGATAAATTGGGGAAAGTCAAAATATGTACCAAATGTAAATACTCTGATAGATTCTGTGAAAGTTGTATCAGTTTACAATTACAGAGTCTTTTCAATGTTTGGACATCTGGAAATGACATAGTTGTCAATTTTATTAAATGAAATCATCTCTGCCAAGTCACATCTTAGAATGAATACCTTATGAGCAATTTGAAAATATTACAAAATTAACTGAAGGTAGATTATATTGCAATATGGATAAGAGGAAAAAACAATTGATTATGATGAAAATCAAAAGGAATTTAGTTATTATGGAACTGTTGGTGTAGTATTAAAATTTTTAAATGATTCAAATAATCTAAGGAAAGCATTTTTTGATGAGGTTGGTAGTTTTTATTCAAAACAATACTGCATTATACAACACTAATTGATTTTATATTTAATTACAGGCAATGAATGAATCATTATGAAATTAAATCATTTTTAATTGTTCTGTGCTATGGTATAACTAAATCCCAGGTAATGGAAGTTATGCAATGGTTCTTGATTATCATCAAGAAGGAACTTTAAGGGATTATTTACAAAAAAATCATTCTGATTTAACATTAAAAGACAGAATTACAATCTTTTATTATTTATGTATTGCGTACATGAAAAGATTTAATTCGTTGTGATTTACATAGTGGGTAATATATTATTGCATACAGGTAGTTGTTATATACAGATTTTGGATTATGTGGACCAGTTGATCAAATAAAATCTATGGAATTATATCATATATTGCATCAGAGGCAAAAATAATACAAAGAACATAAAAGAAACTGATATCTATAGTGTTGAGATGTTAATGTGGGAAATATTCACCATTTGATAATAAAGATCATAATCATTGTTTAATTTTTGATATATATGATCGCTAATATTACCAGGATACCTGATTATTATGCACAAATGATTCAGAGGTGGATAAGGTTGTGGGCGAAACTCCTCCAGAAATCAATTGACAGAGTTTCAACAGGTTACACGTTAATTGTTTATTTTGAGTTTCGGCAGAGTTTCGCATTTGGGGTTTTGTCAATCGTCAGAGTTTTGACTAGGTATATATACTAATTGTTCATAAGAGTTTCGGCAGAGTTTCGACGGTCACTAAGAGGTTTCGGCAAGCAATCTTAGATGCGGATCCATCAAAATGACCAACTATTAGAGAGCTTTTTGATTTTGCTGACAAAAAATTGAAAGAAATTCACATAGCTGAAGATTTGAAAAATAACATTAATAATAATAGTTTAATTAAAAGAATATTCAAATTTTTCTAAATTAAAAACATGAAATTGATTTTAATAATGATGGTAACAGTGGTGGTAGTAGTAATTCACATCAAGTACACAAATCACATCCATTAGCATATCATAAAGTATAATATTAATTGCTAATCCTAAAAGTTTAAGAAGTTATACAAGTAATGATAGTTCATTAAATAATCTCTATTCTCTTAAATGTGTTTTTAACAAAGATGAATAAAATTTCATTACTAATTAATTACTACTAGTAATCTTTTTTACTTAATTAATAAAAATTAGATTCTAGTAATAGTAAGAAGTTGAAAGAATGGTGAACTTGGTGAATGATTAATTTAGTCTCTGCTATAGTTGTTTACCATAATTGTTTTTCGGAGGAAAAGTGATTATAGCATTTATTACGGGTTCTCAATATTTTTTTTATAAAAAATAACTATCAAGATTCAAGTAATTACGGAGATATTTTTGGGCAACTGTTAAAGTTAATTATGGCAACCATGAAAACTAATTATGGAATTACAGATACGGCAACGGTTATGACAAACAACCCATAATATCCATTATAAATTGGTTCATTATATGAATCATCTTTTAATTTCTTTCTTAAAGCTAAATTTTTTTTTAATTTTTTTAATTCTTGTTCCACAAGGTCGCGTATAATGAATGCAAGCATTGTTTGATTCATGCTGTCAGTGGAAACATCATTCTGGCGAGAATTCTTAATAGAATCCAACACGTCAATTTTGGAGTTGGGAATTAATTTTCCCCAAATCGAGCATTTCCCGAACCCATGTTTCGTGTTGTCATATTGCAAGGGTTTCAAACAAGAAAAATCTCATCAACGAAATAAAAAACAGCCAGAAGAGAAAATTTACTGTTTAATTTGTTACTCCACCAATGCTACGTATATGGAGGATATTGAAAAATCAAAAAATGTGTAAAGCACAATTAATACGAAACTCTGGAACTATTTTGCATCAACTTTTCTACAGCATGCATTATAGACATACAAAATATATTCCGAGACCTTTTAACCGATTCTATTTCCTTGTAGGGAAAGCATAAATGTGATGCACTGAGCTATTATCCAAAGTCTGCTAACGATTTTCCAGTTTGGTTGTTGAAATTAAATTGCTCTCGCAAACAAGGGCAAGATTTTGAAATTGGTTCACCCTTTTCCAAATACATATTCACCACTAATGAAGAAAGAACAATATAATATACACGTTGGTATATGGTCAAACATTAGAGAAGTTTACGCACACTTGTTTGTACTATCCACACATTTGTAAATTCTTGATACCACTTATTAGTGAGCAAATCTTCGAAACAAACCTCAACTAAGTTATCAAAAGAGGTTCATTTCGTTTGCTTCTAAACCAAAAGAATTACATAGAGATCAAATTTGCTTCCCTGCCTTTCTATCGAAAGGCCTCAAAATTATTTATTTTTTAGTTGAACATATATGTACGATAGTAATATCATTAATTTATAATTCTATTTAAAAAGATATTTGTATACGTGTGAAACTAGCTTAAATAATCTTGGGAACAATACTTTGAACACATTGGTTTGCAGCCGATAAATTTGAACTCGACAAAAGATCACTTTATTAAAAATGTTGATGATTGTGTAGCCGTTTGTGCAAATTATTCAAGTCAAATGACACGACATGTTCATCCGATTAATCGGATAATCGGTGAAGTTTTGATCAAGTTATCTTTTATTTTTTCTAATAAATAAAACCTCAGTCCATCAAAAAAAAAAATTTTTTTGGATAAATATTAAATATTAAATATTAATATTAAGTAAATCAAGTAAATTCCTTTTCTGAAAAATTATGAAATGTTGCACTAAATTCATTTTGCTCATATGTGAAATAATAGTAGTAAATTTGGTTAATTGATCAATTTTAAGAAGACCCACTGACTGCCAACCTATTTAAATAAAATAAAAATAATAACATAAATAAAAGATAAACTTTTCTAAAAATATATATATATATTATCAAAGACTTACTTTTTCAAATGTTCCATGAAAACTTGTAAGCTGACATCATCGGTGAAAATTGCTTGACCTTGAGGTGTTCCATACATACCGCCAGAAACATGTGTAGTTGAAGGATTAAGCTTAGAAAGAAGAAAACGTGCCTGTGATCCATTTTGATCACAAACAATATAACGTGGAGTTGGAAATCGATCTATCAAAAGTTCCTTTTTAAATCCAATAATAAAACATTATTGTTATTAAACGCATATATGTATATATGTGTAAAATATATTAAATTAGTTAAACAGTAATAAGTCCAACCACATACTTCAGATTCTTTTTTTGGTGCTTCCAATAAATCTCTAAAATTTTGATAACCGTCTTGATCTTGATAACCGGCTTTTCTCCATTGAGCAATAGTTTCCCCATGAAAGATAAGGATGTGGAAAAATGTGTCAAGCAATAGAATGACATCTGGCTTGATTGAAATCGAATCCAATAGTACAGCTTGTGGTGGTGAATCAATAGCATAGGATGTTAATGTAGGCTGAATCATAATTAATGAATTATTAACATCTTCCCGATTCAATACATGCCTAAAGCATAACAACAATAAATAATAAATAACATGTTCTTTTAAGTTATTTGATAAAAAAGATTGATAATTACCGATAAAAGGCAGTTTCATCAGGACTATTATTGAAGACTTGTAAAAATTGACTTCTTCTTAAATGAAACATGAATTGAGGATAAATAGAAAAGTTTTCTGAAAGACGAAATGATGATGGATCATCTTTTCTATAATCAGCGAATTTCTGACACAATCTTATTAACATACGATCCAACCATCTTAACACATCAGGACCATCATCAATCTCCGCCTTGAAAATTGCTATTCTAGCCATTAGCACAGCCGCAGCTTCCTGATCAAAAGATTGGGCAATTTGTGGGCTATTTCCTTCTGCAAAATTCCTGGCTACAGTTGTTACTCGTAAACGGAATTGACCACTTGAATGTTGGTAATGTGTCAAGAATTGAATTAAACCACGTGAACCAGGTTGAAGAGGTTGTCCATGTTGAGTCACCACTTCAAAATATACTGCTGCTGTAGATTTTGGTGTTATACCGCACATTTTCCAAGCGGATGTGTTGGCAATACCAATTTCGGTTTCTGCCACTGATGCGCTTTTTTTATTTGCAGAAACAGCATGTCCAATCAAACCACAAACACGCATCTCTCTTGTTGTCTTTTATTTGTTTATTTTTTTATAGATTTAATAAATTAGTAAGTTTTTTTTAGCAATCAATATATCAAATAAGAATAAATCATTTGTATGTACCTGAACATCCAAAGTAGCATTGAATCCCATTAGTAAATTACCTTGAGAATCTTTGTTGAATACACGTTGGAAACTTTGCTTGAAGATTGCGGTTGTGAAGGAATCTGAAATAATCATAAAACCACCAGTAGCATTGACTAAAGATTTCATTTCAAGTAATCCAATTTGATCAAGACACCCAGCAAATATATCAACTATATGGCCATTAGTCGATGCTCGTTTTGAAAGTGCTTCGTAAAACTTTTTAAATATTAAAAAAAAATTTTTTTAAATAATAATTAACAGTCTATTAATATTAATTAATTAATTAATGATGGATCCTATATTAATAAACATGAAAGCATACTTTGGTGGCTTTTTTGTAGTATTTTATATTATCTTTTTCAATATCATGATGAGATCTAATTGGCTCTTTTAATTCATTACCAACAACCATACCAGGTCCTTCTGTAGCAGGTCCACCACAGAATAACATTATACGAGCTCCAGTACCAGGATAAGTAGACTATTAAAAAAAGTCACAACAGTATTTATATTAACGTCATTAATAAAGCTCCTTGCGAACCAGCTCACACGGAGCTTTAGTCATTAATAATATACATAACATATATTATGATGATTGACTTACTTCCATTAAACCAATTGCAACTGACATTGCTACACCAGTACATCTTTGTGATCTTTTGTCATTTGCAACAGGCCATGGGTCACGTTGAAGTTGTTCTAATGTTGATGTTAATGCAAATTCACATTGTTGAATTGGTTGTAGAAATCTGTTTATTATACGTTATTGTTAATTTTGGCTAATTTAAACGCCTAAAATTATGAAATTACTTTTTTTGTTTTGATTACCTGCTAGCACCAAGATTTTGAGTAATTCCTGGTTGGCCAGGTCTTTGAATTGGTGGTCTGACAGTTGGCGTGGCAAGACCAAGCATATCTTGAATTTGTTTTGAAGTGTATTCTTTTGTACCACGAAAAACATAAGATTTAGGACATTCGGTATAACCAATCTCATGAACTTGCGTCTTTTTAATTGTTTATTTAGGGATTAAAATTAATTTTTGATAATAATAAATAATAAATGATCAATATGAATCATTAAATTACCATTGTGCCATAGGTGATCAAACCAACCAGTGCAAGAGGCGGCAAAAGACTAAGGCTGACTACCAAAGAATCTTTCAATGCCTTTAAATCATCATCTTCAAGACATGTATCTACTACAAATAAAAAAGTTGGAGGAATTTGAGCAGCACGAGCAAGGGTGTACTCAATAGTGGTATATTTTGGTAATAATTCTGCCGGAAGATTGGTAGTTGAAATATCTTTATAATGAGGAGGAAAAGCATTCCTCTGAAGACAAAAAGGACATATCCAAAGTTTACCACGAACATCTATTTGACTACATATGAAACAAGAAAGGACACACAATTAAATAAAAGATAATTTTAATTATACAGATATATAATCAATCATACCAGTAAGGATTTAAAATTGCACGGCAAGGAGCTTTACAAGTTACAGGCTCATAATAGATTGGTGGTAAATCGTCTCGTTCTTTTAATGGAGTGTAAAGGCAAGATATGGGAACCACAATTCTTGTAGCATCTAATCTTGAAGCTGGAAAAACATTCCAGGAAAAGCGAGTTCCATCTTGTTCTTCAATCTCTTCAAAGTTATTCATTATTATTATTACTATTTATTATTATATAATTATCTATAAATTTTTTTTTTTTTGGAAACGTGGAAATTTTTGTTTGGGTAATTTTAAGGTTAATCTTTCGACAATCAAATTTACACGTGAAAAAAAAAAAATTAATTCTCTTTTCGATTTACAAATACTAATAATACGTGATTATTATTTTACCTAATGTACCAAATGAAGAAGGTTGACCAGAATAATTCGATGATATCTGTCATCGACATGCGAAAAAATCCTTTAAAAAAACAACCCTAGCAAATTTAAGCAATACGAGAAGAATCTTCGTACGTGGGATGTGCGACCGTACTTTGTACAATTGAGTTCGTTGTGATCGTTACACCTGTACGAGGAGGAGCCACATATTATTTTTCTGGAAAATCCTATATATACACAGGCTCGATAAGCCAGCCCGCAGTAATCAATTGTTTAAAGTACTCAAAAATATAAATTATGTGGTTGACTTATCAAGTCTGTGTGTGTATTATTATTATTAAGCCGTTAACCTATTACTATTACTATTACCATAGTCGTAATATCAGGAAAACCCCCAACTATCAATGTTATACTTATTTACCTCTCTAAATTCTTTTTTAATCATATCATCAATTCAAAATAATTAATAGTAGCATTAAAATCATAATCATGTCTTCAAAGCATACACTGTAGTTAATCCCACAATTACATATAGTCAACCCTTTTCACAGCAGACTATATAACCAAATTCTTGTCATAACGGGTTTTTAAAATTTTTGCTTCAGATATAAAAATCTGTTGTGGCAAGATTAGCAATCTCGCCATAACGGATTTGAAAAAAATTTCCTTATTTATTACTGTGTCTCATTCATATCTTTTTTTTTTTGACGAATTTAACATGTTACATTTGATCAACCAATAAAAATCACACGATATGTTCGTACAATGTACTAAAAAAATTTTTATAAAAGCATACATAACGCCTCAGTGCCCGTTAAAGCGTCCAATTCATATAAAGAAGCTTTAACCGCTTTAAACTATGATCAACGTTTTACAATCTCTAAATGTAGGATAATTCAATAACGTCGTGTTTCATTATTTGATTTGTTTTTCATATAAAGTTATGATTGTGTATGATTGATCACTTTTGATGTCTAATGCATGCAATATTTTTACTTATGTCAAGATTTTTAGTAGATCTTGGCATAATGTGGAAATATCGTTAATGGGTAGTGACAATTGCAATAATAATACTAATTGAAAAAAAAAAATCTAATTTGTTTACTATATACGTAACATTGCATATGTATTGTAAGAAATTGTATTTAGAAAATATTTCGGAAAATCTGTTGCGTCATGATCGATCTTCCTAATTCTATCAAAGTTGCTGGTTGATCTTCTCGTATATAATAAAGAGGGTATTATATATAATGTCTTCAAATATAAATTTGGGCTTGGGTAGAATAAATTCGCTTCTACAATTATTAGGCAATCCCCATCAAAATTTATCAGCAATACATATCGCAGGTACAAATGGAAAGGGTTCGGTGTCTGCATATATAGATTTTATATTGTTTAAAGCCGGATTTAAAACTGGCAGATTTAACTCACCACATCTAATTGATGTTAACGATTCGATAAGAATTAATACAAAACCCATTAATAGAACTGATTATCAACGTATATTCAAATATATTCACAATATCAACAAGCTAAACGATATAGGTGCAAGTGAGTTTGAATTGATGACAGCGGTAGCATTTTGGTGGTTCAATTATGAAAAAATTGATGTTGCGATTGTGGAGGTTGGACTTGGTGGTAGGTTAGATGCAACTAATGTTTTCGAGAAAACTTTAGTTAGTGTGATTACTTCTATCGGGTTAGACCATGTTGACATTCTCGGTGATAATGTTGAAACAATAGCAAAGGAGAAAGCAGGAATATTAAAATCTGAAGATCATATTGTGATAGCACCACAATCTGAAGAAATAATAAATGCTACATTGCTTAATTACTGCAAAGATAATCTGTTGTCTACGACTATCCATCCTGTACAACCTGCAAATTGGGGATCAGAGGAATCCGGAATTGCCTCAATAAATTTATCGGGTTTTAATAATCATCTCAGTGATGACGATGGTAACAACACATTGAAATTTTGTATGCCACTTAAAGGTGATTTTCAGTTAGAAAATGTAGCCACTGCTATCAAAGCGATTGATGTTTTACGTCGAACTGACAGTAAATTTAGTAGAATTACCAACCAACATATTTGTGAAGGTATCGAATCAACACAATGGTTTGGTAGATTACAATGGATTGACATTTCAAAATTCATTGATAAACCATTGCTTTCACCGCCGCCATTATCGTCATCATCAACAACATCAACACCAGCATTATCATCAACGTCAACATCAGCACCAGAATCACCATCACTGCCAGCAACACCACCAACACCAAACAGTGAAACAATGATGCTGGTTGATGGAGCTCATAATCCTCCAGCAGCAAAAGAACTACGTAAATACATTGATCAATATTTTACTAAACTAAAATTCAAAAAACCAAAAGTTAATTGGGTTTTTGCTTCGTCGAAACATAAAAGCGTTTATGATATTCTCAAATGTCTCCTATATGATGATGATACATTTACGGCTGTTAACTTTTCAAAAGTGGAAAATATGCCATGGGTTGAAAGTTGTGATCAACAAGAATTGAGAAGAATTGCAAACCAAATTTCACCTAATATTAAAACATATTCAATTGATGATCATAATTTAAAGGATTCAATTATTTTTGCTAATGAGCTTTGTAAAGAACAAAAGGGAGAAGGAATTATTGTATTGTGTGGAAGTTTATATCTTATTGCGGATTTATTACGCATATTAGATCTTTATTAATAATAAATAACATTGTCCAAATGGACATTTTTTTAGTCAATCACATCATGAGGCATAGGATTTTGCCAACATTGCCGGATATATATAGAAGTCGAGAAAATTATTGAGTTATAAAGATTATAAACAAACAGGTTATATTTAAATCCAATGACACTTATATACATCACAAAGGAAACTCGTGTATTTTTTAATTTTTTTGATTTTTATTATAACAATATTGTGGAAATACAACTTACAACTTACAAATTATAATTTTTCTATTTTAAATATTTTTGATAAAAATTAAACCAATTAATTATAAATAATAATAATACTTTTTGTTAATAAATAAATATATGTGTATGTATTTATAAAAATTTATGAATAAGAATATAACAAATTTTTTTGAAAAAAAAAAAAATAAATAGAAATAAATAAAAATTTTTTTACATAAATACAGTATCTTTTCCTACCATATCAACTATTCTCATACCATCATTATTCAATGAAACGTACATTCTAGACGGCACTGGACCAGGTCTAAGACACGTTGCTTGTAAAACTAATTCGCGTGTAGTAGGATGAGGGAATAAGTCGCTAACTCGAGCTTTGATAATAATATATTATAATAAAAAGATTAACATTTATTTATCAAGTCAAATAATAATTATATTTTTAAAAATAAAATTTTAACAAACCTTCTCCACACATGAATAAATTATAGACAGAATCACGTTCTTCTCCATCTAAAACTTGTGTTTCGGGTGTTTCTAAAAGTCTTTCTATCAAGTGGTATTGTTTAGGCAACTAAAATGTAACACGAATAGCATAACATTAAGTTTCATATTTATTTGTCTTTTAACTGTTATATAATCATAATCGTCATGATCCATTCATTACCTTACGTAAAAGTGAAAATGCTTTACCCATTAACATTTCAATTTCTTTAAAAGAACGTATCAATTCACTAAATGCCTCATACTCTAATCTATAAATATATAAAAATTTAAAATTTAAAATTGTTTTTAAAAAAAAAAGCAAACTAATTTTCTTACCCTACATCATTCCACGGAAATCTAATCAACTCTTGTGCTAGTTTTGATATACTAGACGCCACTGGTTTGATGTCTCTAACGACTGGGTTAGTCAATAAAGTATCATATGCAATAAGAAATATGGTTGGCAATAATCTATATATATATTTTATAAAATTATATTAGGAAAATAATTAAGAAAATAAAAAATTTGGAATACCATGATAAATTTATCTTAACTGTATAAATAATTCATGAATCTGTAAATGTTCTAAATAATGTAACGCCTATTAAAATAAATAACAATAACAGCAATAATGAGAAAGAAAATTCTGACAATAACTCAGAGTCCTTTTGCAAATTAAAGTTCCAAGTTACCTTTTCTGCTTCTCCATTATATTTGAAAATAGGTTTTTGACGTTTTACTGGAACTCTTTTTGCAGACTAAAGTTGCAAAAGTAAGATAATATTAATGTTTGCAAGAATCAAAACATTAAACAAGTCTTTTTTTTAATAAACATATTTACCATCCAAAGTTCCTGCCAAAGATTTCCTTCTGCCATCATCCTTGGGCTAAGTTTTCCTTTATTAGGGTCGCCACTATCATCTGGGATCCAGTCCTTTGGTGAATGCCATCTAATAAAATCTTCCAAGATAGCATGCGGATTTGCAGCCTTGAAAGCTTGCATGTCTTTAAAAACACCATTTAAATTAAAATAGGTCAAATAACGATTGAAATAATGAACTTCCAAGTAATTACCTGATTTTAGATGAGCTGATTGCAATTTTGCGCGTTCTGATGTTTCCAATTTTTCAAGTAATTGTTCCTGTTCATACAACATATCCTCAGTCATGAATCCAAGATCCTATAAATCGTAATGCAATTATTATTAAAAGATTTAATTATAATTTAAAGACTAACAAATTAATGTACCTGTGTTCCTGGAACCCACATTTGTTCGCCTGTTTTTAATAAGGTAATACCATTGTGTGTATGAATATGGCCTTCTCTTTCATTTTCATCTTTTACTTCCTCTTCCGTACCATATTGAATACTATTATGATTTACTTTTACTGGATCTTTACGAGCCTTTTTGCCAGAATATTCATAACTTTGGTTGGAATCCATACTTGAGGAGTAATTGAGTTTAATATCAATAAATGATTCTGTTAAAGAGGAAGGACCATTGAGATTTGAATCGGATAATTCAGAAACTATTGATGCTGTAGGAGAATATGAATGAACATTTGAGAGAGAAGACGGTGAACGATGGTGATTTGAAATTGGTCTATTAATATGATGTGTTTTGCGGGTAGGAGGAATTTTCAAAGGTTTCGCGAGTGAATTTTCCAAATTGTCGCAAAAATCTAAATCATCTTCATTAGTAGGCGATGCTGCATTTTCTACGCTTTGAGAGCGATTACGCTATTAAATAAATCAATCGAAAAAAAAAGAGATTAAATATGATGGATAAGTATATGTAAAAAATTTGTTGAATATATTTTAAAAGCTTACATCTAACCTTTTTTTCAGGATGATTAATATTTTTATTTATATTACGAACTTCTTCATTATTATTATCAATATTACGGTTATTATTATTATTATTATTGTATTTTATTGTGTTGGGATCATTTATATTAAGTTCATCATCATCACCTGTTAGACGTTCAAAAAGACGTACTAATGGATCAGAAGATGTTGATTGTTTAGGATCAGAAACAGAAGATTTGTTGGAGTATTTCGTAATGGAATTAGGAGAAATTGATGTAAATGAATTATTTGTTGGTGATGAATTACTATTATTATTGTTAATATTGTTTGATTGTCGAATGCGGGAAATACAGCAATTAATCATATTCAATTTTTGATGGATTATATTGTAACGCATATCAATACCAATAGATTTTTTGTTAGCGTTTTCAATTGAAATCCCATAATTGCCATTGCTATTACCATTACTACTATTATCATTGTCAGCGCTCTTGCTATTATGTAAATTTGATTTATTCTGACTGGATGATTCAATATCAAATTCAGATAAATTGTAAATATTGACATCAGGAATCAATTCAAATCTCTCCCAGTTCGAACGAATATTTTTCAATACTTCGGTCCATAAAATTTTCAAAAATCCCAAAAAAGAACAATAACGAGAATTAGATACGGGAGAAATAGTTTCCAATAAACATTCAAGAAGATTCCATAGAAAAGATTTATATGGAACAGTTCTGACATGTTGAAAATTAAGACCCAACGAAGCAGTAGAAAGTAATTGAATACCATATTTAGTGTTTATTTTTCCTGTTTTATTATTGTTATAGTTGTTGTTGTTAGAAGCAAAAAATTTATTTCTTAATGGATTAAATAATTCTTGCAATATGTTGTCTATATCTACATCATCCATAACAACAATTCCTCCCGAGTTATACTTTTTAATATTATAAGAGTCTAAATCATAATTGTTAAAAGACCCAGGTAACTCATAAATTTGATTTTGTTTTTCCCCTTTGTGAAAAAATTTTGTTCCATACAAATTTCCTTTATCAAGATCCACACACCAAGAAGTTGTAACCTCGGATAAAACACTTGTAAGATAAGAATTAGGTATCGAATCATCCTGTGAAAAATTACAACTCAATAGCCATATTTGAGCCTTGACAGCATCCATTTCTGAGTATTCATCATTATCCAAATACGAATTATTTGAAGCAGATGGGAAAAAAGCAGCCAGCAACATTGATTCAAGAGGATCTTTATGAGGACCAAAAGTTAATCTTGATGATGATGATGACGATGAATTTTTTACAGGTGAAGAAGAAAATTGATCGTTTGATGGGTTAGAATATCCAGATATATTTTTTAAAACTAAATCGCCAAGTATGGTTTCGTTTTTGTCATTAAATTTGTTCAACAAAACATCATCATTGTCAAACGTCAAATCCTTATTATTGGATAACCGATTTGAAGTGACGTAATCATAATCATAAATAATTCTTCTCCAATCATGAGCATCCAAATTCTGTAATTCGTATGTAAACAGGCCAGATACGGTGATCCCAAGATGTGGTATTTTATCTATTTCATGTTCAATAGCAGTTTGATCTACGAAACCGAACCCGATCAAAACGAACGATATGTGTGTTAGATCTAGGTATAAGCTGTTATCAAATTATATATGTGTGTAGATCAAACATGACTTATGGTTGATGGGAGATAAATTATCTGATATAGATTCAATAATAATAATAACCAAGAGTAAAATGTAAATAATTAAAATCTATACTTACCAAGTGAAAATTGTTTTAAATCCATTTTCTCAATGAATAATTTGGTCAAACTTTCTAAATTTGAATATTTTGTAACATCACGAATATAAGTAGTATTAAATCTTATTTCTGCTTCACTAAGATCACTAGCATCATTATTGTCTTCTTGCTTGTATAGGCACATGTATCCTGTATATAAAGGGTTATTATAAAGGCCACCCGTTGGAACAAAAACTGGAAGTTTGCATTTTATGTTATGAAAAGCAATCGCAAAAGATGATAACAACATTTTAGTAGTGCTAAGATCTATTTTTGAAGATTTCGAAATAGAGTCGAAAGAAAACATATCAGACAAAGATAGAACCAATATATGAGTTAAACCAGTCCATCGATGAATTTCACATAATTTGACAGAAGATAAATCTCTAGAAGAATTTGGCAATGTTAATGGAAGAAATTCTGAACTAGGTAAAAAAGGATCATAGTTTGAAGGCGAAATTGTTGTTGTGGTGGTGGTAGTGGTAGTGGTGGTAGTGGTAGTGGTGCTAGTAGTGGTAGGTGGAGTTTGAGAGGTGGATGAAGAAGGGATTAATTCATTCCAACGATTTATTGGATGATAGTGATATGATAAGGTATAGGAGTTATCATCAAGAATGATTGTTTCTCTTTTGACAAAAGGATCAATTCCTCCAACTTTTTTAATGTAAATTTTATCATGTAAAGGTGATAAACGTGATTCATCAAATATTCCCAGTTGCCCGTCATTGACACCCCACCCAGTTAAAACTTCTTCTACGGTGGTAATGAAACGTTCCCATTGTGATGCAGCAGTGTAGTCAACAAACTCAAAATGTTCCTCATCAAAGGGTGAATTTGGGCATGAAGTTTCCATGTTGTTCTTTGGTGATTTTGATCGGAACAATTTTAAGAAAAAATTTTTTCCCAATTGTCAAAGCGCAGTGAGTTTTGTGTGACAGAAAGGTTATTCCGGAAAAGATTTTCGCAAAAAAAGACATCATAATCCAATTAGCTGGCTTAAAATTCATATCACATAAGATCTGAATTTTCTTTGAAGTTTAGTTATTTCAGTTAATTTTATCATGGTAATAAAACTTTAATACTTTTTTTATTTTTTTATTTTTTTATTTCTAATTTTGTTGTTAGCTTAACTATTCAGCTTAATTTAAATATTTTTATTTAGTCTTTAGCACCTGTACAAATTTTTCAAGATGAGGCTACAGAAGAGCGTGCGGAAAATGCGCGTTTGGTAATTTGTAAAATTTATTAACCTATTATCATTAATATTGTTTCGATCATTAATTCATTTAAATGATTGTTGGATGATCTTTAGTCATCTTTTATTGGTGCTATTGCTGTTGGTGATCTAGTGAAAAGTACTTTGGGACCGAAGGGAATGGTATGAAAATTTCAGGTCGGAAGAATAGATGATTTGTGATTTAAAGTTAATGTGATTAATCTTTTAAAATTACACATATATATACATATATATATATATATATTGCATATATGATATTTTAAATTACTATATAGGATAAAATTCTTCAATCGGCAAGCAAAGGTGATATAATGGTAACAAATGATGGCGCTACAATTCTTAAAAGTATTGCACTTGATAATGCTGCAGCAAAGGTTCTTGTCAGTATCCTTTAATAAATATATTCTGTTTGTCCAATAAAATCATCTTGGAATCCTTAATATGTTTCTTAAAAAAAAAAAAAGACATATCAAAAGTTCAAGATGATGAAGTAGGTGACGGTACAACTTCAGTATGTGTTCTTGCTGCAGAATTACTAAGAGAAGCAGAAAAGCTTGTAAATCAAAAAATTCATCCTCAAACAATCATTGAAGGATATCGTATTGCAAGTGCAGCTTCACTTAAGGCATTAGAAGATTCTGCAATTGATAACGGGTTGATTTAAATTTTTAACTGTGTTTGTATTCGTTATTGATAAGAATTGAAAGTTAACATTTATGTCTAAAATTTAGTTCTAATCCTGAAGCTTTCAAAAAAGATTTAATCAATATCGCACGTACAACTTTAAGTTCCAAAGTTTTGTCACAGGATAAAGGATACTTTTCTAACCTTGCTGTAGATGCAGTTTTGAGGCTTAAGGTGAAATATTTTAGTTTTAAAGGTTAATTTTAGAATGTACAATCAATTAATTAAAATAAATATTAAATATTATGCTTCAGGGTAGTACAAATTTGGAGAATATACAGATAATTAAGAAAGCTGGTGGTAGACTAATAGATTCATATCTTGATGAAGGTATATTATATATATATGTATACACGTGTATATATTTATATTTATATTTATCTAACTCATGACTATTACTTTGTTACATAAGGATTTATTTTGGATAAAAAAATCGGTGTTAATCAACCAAAAAGGATTGAAAATGCTAAAATTTTGGTTGCAAATACACGTAATATATTAAAATAAAACCATAGTTCTATAATTTTTTATATATTTAATTTGAAATTAATTTATATAAATATTTTTGATAGCAATGGACACCGATAAAATTAAAATATTTGGAGCACGTGTTAGGGTTGATGCTACAGGAAAATTAGCAGAATTAGAAAGAGCTGAACGAGTAAATTACAATTTTCAAAGCATAAATCTCGTGAATTTATTTTTATTATTATTAATAATAAAAATTGATAGTTAATGATAATTAATATTATAGGATAAAATGAAGGAAAAAGTTGAAAAAATCAAATCACATGGCATTAATTGTTTTGTAAATCGTCAATTAATTTACAATTGGCCTGAGCAATTATTTGCTGATGCTGGTATTATGTCAATCGAACATGCAGACTTTGATGGTGTTGAAAGATTAGCTTTAGTGACTGGTAAATTAAATTGATTAGTTTTTTTTTTTAAAAAAAATGAAGATTTATTATTTATTTTTTTGGTTTAGGTGGTGAAATTGCATCAACATTTGATCATCCCGAACTTGTAAAACTTGGACACTGTGATCTTATCGAAGAAGTCATTATTGGTGAAGATAAGGTATACACCATATTTAGTATAAAACGATCATAGTCATTATTTGTATGCTAATTCAATTTGAATTGATTTAATTTAATATAAATAGTTGCTTAAATTTTCCGGAGTAGCTGCTGGAGAAGCTTGTACAATCGTATTGAGAGGTGCAACGAATCAATTGTTGGATGAAGCTGAACGTTCATTACATGATGCATTAAGTGTTTTGACACAAACAGTCAAGGAGACACGTACTGCTCTTGGTGGTGGTTGTGCAGAAATGTTAATGTCTAAAGCTGTTGATGAAGCTGCAGCAAAAACAGCTGGTAAAAAAGCTCTTGCTATTGAATCTTTTGCAAAAGCTTTGAGACAAGTAATAAATTTTTCTAAAAAAATAATTTTTCGAAAGTTTTTTTTTTTTTTCATTAATAAACAATAATTGATATTTTTAGATACCAACCATTTTAGCTGATAATGCTGGTTATGATAGTGCAGATTTGGTATCTAGGTTACGTGCAGCTCATTATGAAGGAAAATCAACATATGGATTAGGTAGAGTGAACATAAACATATATACTTTTAAAATTATATATATATTTGAAATTGATCATCTTTCCCTTGTTTAGATATGATAAATAATAATATTGGTGATATGGCAGAGCTTGGGATTACTGAATCATTTAAACTTAAATATCAAGTATTGATCAGTGCTTCAGAAGCTGCAGAAATGATTTTACGTGTGGATGATATTATACGTTGTGCTCCAAGGTTTGTTTTGTATATATATACAATGATTTTTTTAAAATAAAATTTATAAAATAATTTCAATTTATTTATTATTTACTTATCTATAGGAAACGTGAGGGAGGATATTAATATGAAAAGCAAAGTAATTAATTACAATAAAAAAAATTTGATTATGATTAATTAATATTAAAATTAAATTATTTATTAAGTAATAAAAGTCGCTTCACTGAATAGTTTTCCTTTAGTGATAATCTCATCATCTTTCCCTTTGAATTTAATATGAGCAGTAGCATCATTAAACCATTGATATATATATGGTTTAGCAACAAATGCTAAATATATATATATGTATATTAAAATATTATATAATTAATTCATTGTAGACATAAAATTTAAATAATATAATAAATTTACCTTGAACAATTTTTTTCAAAAAATAAGGAACTTCATTTAATACATCAATTTTATCCATAAGAATAGTAGGCACAATTTCTATTGTAACAGTGTAATCCTCTCCACCTTCTAATGTTCTACCTTCCCAAACATAGTTTATTTTCTTTGGAATATTATAACCAGTATCAAGATCCAATTCAGTTTCAACAAATTCTGCTTTATTATCAATCGATACTCCAATTAATTTATCATTCAACATCAAACTACCTTGATTAACCTTCACACCACCATAGTAAGGTGTTGCCTCAAATTCACACATTGATAATGAAGAAATGTCCGATTGGAAATTAATAAAATTCCATTTGGAAGCAATGAGATGAGGTCTCATTCCTTGGATTGCGTGAACAAATAATCCTGTCCCAGATACATCGAATTTTCTTCCATCTACCACAAATGTTCCATTGACAATACCTTTTGGCCAAAACTTATGTTCCACAAATCCTGATGATCTATCTACTCCAAAATAAGTTTTACCTTCGCCAATTTTATATCCTCGATCCACACGTTCAAACTCGAATGAAACTATCAATTCTTGTTCATGTTGCAAGCTCACTTTATATTTATTGTGTTCTGGATTAAGTTCAATTGACATATTATCTGCTGATGCCGAACATCTATCTTCTGAAAGTTTAAAATTAGACATGTTAACTGACTTAAAGGTATTAATTCCTTCACCAAAAAATCTTGCTGTGAATTGAATTGTAGGATACCATAATCTAAATTGTTTTTTAAATTATATAAAGACGGATAAATTTTTTTTCATAATTAAATTATTTTATATTAAAATAACTTACCCGATGTTTGAATGAATCATTTGAACAAAAGCAAAATGTCCTTCTTTAGTTGACAAATAAAAGGTTTGAGTTTCGGTGGAAGAGCCAGAGGCTAAAGTCCATTTTAGATCTTCGGGTGCAACATCCGAATAAAGTTGATTTTTTGCTAAATCGCTGGCAACATGTATGTTATCGGTCATTTTATATTTTAACAAAATTAATCATAAACGCTATTTGTTGATCATTTCTTATATTGAAGAAATTTAATTTGGCGATCCGGCACAACTTTCCATGTACTAGTATGGTGTAAGTCGTCTAGTCCCACAACTTTCTGCGTCACACCGCCAATTGAGAAATAAAAATTGTTTGGTAATGTGATATTTCCTAAATAGTAAAATCGGCAATAATAAATATATACACGATCTCGGACAATGAACTGGTATGCAAGAAAACATAAAAAAGTACTCATAATATCTTACTAAAAATGAATAGTTAGTTTCCTTTCTGGGCCTTTTTTTTTATTAAAAATCCAATTTTTATTATGTAAATGCTTGAAGATATATATAACTGGTGTTTTGACGAGATCACACCCCACTTTTGTTAATACCAGTTCAATTATAATTGTCCGAGGTCCTATATATACAGTGCGGATTATCTATACTCAAAAGTTAAAATTTTTGAAATATTATGTGATCCATACATAGGATTTTAAAAACCCGCCATCATTCCATTCAGCTTTAAAAAGGGAGTCTATTAATTAAAAAAAATTTTTGTTTCAAATTTTCTTTCATGGATTTTTAAATTTGAAGAAATGCAACAATAATTTCGTGTTTTTCGTGTTACAATATTTTGAATCCCATGACCAAATTTGATAATTAATAAATGAAAAAAGTTGTTACACGAAATTTACTTAGTCTCAATTTCTCAAGTGTATAACAAAATTCGGAATTTTCAAAATGCTAAGGCTCTGCCAATTTTCAGTTTAAGAAAAAACCTGCCGATAAGTTTTGAAGCTTGAGTCATGAACAATAAAACTTATCGGTTAAATTTTTTAAAATGATATAATTTTTTTTTGTTTTAGTATTTTGAAGTTGACCAATTGTTACTATAAGCAATTAATTAATGATTATACATCATGATAGAAATGCAATGTATTTTTGAGGCGGGAGATAGCAAGTATATGTATGTTTTACATATTTCTTTGATCAACGCAATAGTATATTTATTAAATTCGAAATAAATGAACTTGGGCTGTTTATTGTATTTTTTATATAAATAAAATTCTCTTTCCATTCATCTGGGCAATTCATGTGAGAAAAGATCTGCAACAAGGAACAAATTCAAAATTTTTGTTTTAATTCGTTTGATATTAACTTTTCTGCGTGTAACACGCTAATTTTAGAGCTGAACATGATGAATTCGGTAAACTTGTGCAACTTTGAGGCTCGAATCCTCCATAACAACATCAACAAAAATGAAATCGTAACTTTCTAGAGAAAGGTCTCAAAAACACGATTTATTTTTTTGGTGTTACATTTACATTTTTGGATTTGAAGGATCTACACGACCAATAGAAATACAATTTGGAACAGAATAATGTAAAGAAGGTTTTGTTCAGGAAACACATGTAGAAGGTAATTTTTAATTAGGAATACATTATTTATTATAATCATTATAATTAAATGGCAGATATATTTAATTTTTACAAAGTCCAATGACTGAAGCTGTTTTCAAACATACAGTAAAACAAAAAGGATTAGAGTCAAAATTTATAGTGGATAGTTGTGGAACTAACACTTGGCGTGTTGGTATATATATATATATATATACACACATTATAATAATCATTATCATTTATCAATTAACAAATAATTATCATCAATTATTTTAAAAGGCGAACTTCCTAATTCAAAAAGTGTAGAAGTTTGTAGAAAAAATAATATAGATATTAATCATAGATCCAGAAGAATCTCAAAAGAAGATTTGACGAATTTGATTATGTTTTGTGTATAGATGAGATGAATTTACTTGATGCAGAACGTCTTAAACCTGAAGCTTCAAAATCGATCGGTAATGCATTGTATATATATTTTTTTGGATTGGATTTTGGGGTTGTTGATTTATCAATTAATATTTTATTTCTCCCAGTCAAATTATTTGGTGAGTATGATCCACAAGGTGAAAAAGTTATTAGAGATAAATACTACTTTTTTTTAAAAAAAAGTTTAAATCAATACGAAATGTAACGAGATAATAAATCGCTTCATTATTCTTTTAATATAAATCAGATCCATATTTGGGCGATATTAAAGATTACGAATCAAGTTTTGGCCAGGTTACAAGGTACTTTGAGGGATTCTCGAAAAGTCTAGATTTATGATAAAATATGCTATAATTTAGATTTATTATTTTGTTTTCGCAAATTCTTACAAATTTTATTAAGCTTAAATTCACTTAATAATAATAATAATAATAATCAGAAATATAATAAATGGTGATAATATAAATAATAACAATAATATAATAAAGTTGCAAGTAAATCAAGATTTTATTTCTGGCGGTGAAACATTTGTTATTGGTAATTTACAAATTTCCAAGAAAGCACACATAGTATAATGTGCATCATTACCTATTTGACAATAAAATAATCCATAATCAATATAAATTAATATTTTTATATATATACATACATATGTGTGTGTGTGTGTAATTCAAACATTATTTACCTGCATTATGTAAACAATAGTTTTCAATTTTCAAATCATCCAACATACCTCCCAAACTAGGACGTTGAGAGACATTACCTGTCCTCGCACCATCTAATTCAGCAGTATCAAACACTTCTTTAGGTTTAATAACCTCGTCAATTTTAATTTCCATGCGTTCTAAATATTTCTTCTCCATTGCAATATCATGTCCAATCAAAATTACATCGTTGAATTCTTCGTTTTCTCGCACAAATTCTTTTTGTGTAGCATCTTTAGTAAATTCTAATGCTATATTCTCGGAACTTTCCCATACACTATCACCGAAAATAAAGCGATCTTTCATATCTGCCACATACTTGTTATTTCTAAGATGCATATACTCTTTGACACAGAAGTGTCGGTCCATAAAAAGATCCGATTTAGAATTATACATGCTCCATCCAACTTCCAAAATACAAGTATGGTCTCTTTCATAACTTTCTACATCTATTGCTATAAATAAATATTTTTTCTCATCGCATAATTTTTTTGCTTTCATCAATCTATCGTTCAAGGCAGCCTTTTTTTTGTATACTTTGAAATTTTTATTATAATCATTAATGTTTTTTTCGACTTTTTGAAAATCTGTTGGTTCCATGTAAAATTTTTTGATAATTTGATAATGTGAATTGTGCTTGTTACTGGGAAAAGGTAAAGTTTTTGATACAATTTTTTCTATTTCAGAATGAAGACGTCGTACTGTCTCTTCAGATACTAATAAATATTGGCGTTTATCGGCCTCATCAATACCAGTATAAAATTCTTCTTTACGATATTTATCAAAAAATTCATGTGGTGATAAAATGGTTTCCACTTGCTTATCGATTTCATCATTTCTTTTACTCCAAAGTCCACGTAAATTACTGTAACGGTAAAGATTTTCTGTTCCCATTTGTTTTTTTTCGTAAACAGGTTTAAAAAAGTCTTGTATGTGTTAATATATAATAAATATTATATAGAGGAGAGAGACGAGAAGGATTATTATGATCGACGTGTTGGTGTAACTTCAACATTAAAATAAGGAGGGAGGGAAACTAGTGTTAGTAGTAATAATAATAATGTCATCAACAGAAATTAACTCGTTAGAGTTTTTGTCAAAACTATCAAATGACATTTCATGGTTACTTCACAATAGTGATGATTGTGATGTATTAATCCAAGTTGGCGAAGAACCGAATTCAAGAGGGTTTCCTTGTCACATTGCAATATTACGTGCAAGGTCTTCATATTTTCGTAGAGCTTTATCAAAAGACTGGTCTAAGCGTGAACCTGATGGACTTGTCTATTTTTTTAAACCAAATGTTCAACCCGAAATGTTTGAAAAGTTGTTAAGGCAAGTAGCATTACTATAATAATAAAAATTATGCTTGATTTATTTTTATTTGTTTATTTTTAACAATTTGATTGTTTTTATATAGGTATATCTATTGTGCGTCAATGGATTTTAGTGAAGAGGACGAAGAAACTTTATTGAAACTATTAACATTAGGAGATGAATTGATGTTGGATCAGTATTGTATCCAGATTCAACATTTTTTAATAGGGAACAAATATGAATGGTTGGAAGAAAATCTCGTTGAAACGTTACGTATCACAAACAATTGTAACTCGTGTACTCTTTTAAGGAATCATTGTTTAGAGTTAATAGCTGAAAAACCTGCTTCGATTTTTAGGTCTGAAGGGTTCATCTCGTTAGAAGAAGAACTATTGGTTTCGTTGTTGAGACGAGATGACATTGAGATGGAGGAAATTGAAATTTGGAATTATATGATCAGATGGGGAATTGCCAATACGCTTGGTCTTGTCGCCATAGACATAAAAAATTGGACAGATGCAAATTATAGGGCGCTGAAAGAAACTCTATCTCAATGCATTCCATTGATCAGATATTTTTCTGTAGCTTCATCGGATTATTATGATCATATAATCCCATTTAAGAAAATACTTCCACCAGAATTAAATGATGATATTCTAAGGTATCATTTGAAACCTGGTAGTATACCAAATTCTATGGCGTTGCCGCCAAGGGATCAAGGTATGAATTTAGACTCTTTGATCATCAAACCTTCTCATGCAAGAATCATATGCAATTGGATTGATGGTAGAGACATTGTTACTCCAACTTTTACCAAAGCTACATACGATTTTAGATTGTTAGTTAGAGGTTCGAGCGATGGTTTCGATGCATCGAAATTTCATGCCAGGTGTGATCGTAAAGGAGCAACAGTTGTTTTTATAAGGATCGAGAATAGTGGAGAGATAATCGGTGGATATAATTCCGCATATTGGAGAACAGGTGCTGTTTATATACATTCAGATAAAAGTTTTTTATTTTCATTGGGTGATGGAAAAAAACTACAAAATGCCATATTAAGTAGAATCAGAGATTCACCAAATGCAATGTACGGTCATACTTCCTACGGCCCACATTTTGGTACCAGTGATTTAAGAATGTATACACCGTTTAACAACAAAGAAAACTGTTCTTGTCAACCGGGTTCTTATTATAAACCCATCACTGAGAATGTTAGATTTTCTGCCGGAGAGTATGAAGTATTTCAACTTATCCCAAAATAAAAAATTCACGGTTTTCTAAACATATCAAAATAATGTATAATGCAAATCTGTTACAATTTAATTTTTAATACATTTAAGTTATAAATTTTAATTTTAGCAATAAAAATAATAATCAATTAATGATTATTCCAAATATTTGTTTTCTTTTAACCATTGTTTGACATCGTCAGCATCACGATTTACCCAAGCAGCATTGATTCTAATACTTTCCAAACTTTGCTGCAAAGGTCTAGCAAAATTTTTGCAATCTTTATCTTTGAAAAATGATTCGATATCCTTTATATCTTCTTCGGATGCAAAAGATGAGATACAAAATTTTATGACATGTCCAAAGAGAACAAATGATTTTGCATATCTTTGATGAATCTAAAAAAAATAAAATAATAGATATAAATATAAATGTAAAAACAAAAATAAAATAAATGATAATAAATGATAGCAATACCAAGTCCCAATTCTTTTTAACGAATTCCCATAACGCCCTTCGTGATTTGCGATTTGCTTGCAATCTAAATTAATAAAACATTAAAATTTAGGAAAAATTATATATATAAAAAAACTAAATTAAAAATTAAAAAAAATCCTAACCCTGAAAACGAATAAATGATATCTTGCTCTTTAACTTCATCAGAAATAGCAAAGTCCAAGGCACGTTGAATCAACTCGGGTTGCACTACAGATCCAAGACTTACCAAAACGATAATTTTTTGATCTGGGATTGTTGTTTTACGATAAATGTCAATTATGGCATTAAACTCTTCTTCGCCACCGCCATATTTCAATACAATATCAAAAACTGTTCCACGTATATTTGGATGTATGGCTGATTCGTCGTTATGTTTAGTCAATAAATCAAATCTTCGACGAGCTTCTTTAACAATTCTTTTTAAGAAATGGACATGTCCATTTATGTAAGTCTTTCTTTTTTGACAATAGATGTGTATATCTTTGTATTTATATTTATATACAACGTAAATTAACTTACTCCGGATGACCAGACTTGCCAGCAAATCCAATTATAAAAGTACGGAACATAGTTGTTAAATAATCTTCACCTTCCGAAAATTCCCAAGTTACTGTATTAACTAATTTTGATATTAATTGACGTCTAAATGACAATAAAGCCTCATGAATCGGATCAGGTTGTTCGAACCAAGCCTGAAACAAATTCGAAATTTGAGTACTAATTTCACACCATACACTAAACATTATTAAATAAATAATGAAATTTAAATTTTTAAATTTTGAAATTTTTAAAATAGTAAAATAAAATAATTAATAAATGAAATTCTATAAGAACATGTATTTATCTTCATTATCAGAGTCTTTCAAGAAGCTTAACAAACTGCTTGTTTTAATGTATCCGCTCATTGACAAGGCACCATTATCAGCTACCAATCCAATTCGATCACTAGTACTAAGTAACCCGTTTTCAACAGCTTTAGCCAATTTTTTTAAACGTTCAGGTGTATATGCAACGCGATATACACCGGTTACATTAACATTTAATTGTAAAAATTCGGACATCGCTGATGGTAGGTCTATTGTAGCCTCTTTGGTTGTAAGAATCTTTGTTCTAAGATCAATATTTCCGGTAGAACCAAGATCAATACCAAGAGGTACCCACCAAGTAGTAGTGTCATCTTCTGGTGAAGCAACTCCTGTTGAAAGAAACCGAGTTTGACGTATATGTATTTTATTTGGAAGTGGTTCATCAACAAACAAAACCGGATACTTTTTTTAGATTTTGAAAAAAAATTTTAATAAAAATTAAATTTTCCGCACAAGCACGAAAAATTCTATTTGATTCAAATGAAAAAAATTTTCTGCATACACCAACTACTCTAGTCCATCCAGTCATGAATTTACCAACATCAATACCACTTTCTTCTGATAATGCTTTCCACAAATCATCAGTACTTGCATTACCGTATTCATGACGTTTCAAATATTTTCTAACTCCAGACAAGAAAATTTTTTCGCCTAAATGATCACTTAACATACGAATTACAGAGGCGCCTTTGTAATAACTGATTGCGTCAAATATTTGATGAATTTCACTAAATCAATGTAATTTACAGAGAAAAAATAAATATTTTATTTAAGTAAAATAACTTGAATTATTTATTTTTATGTATATATGTGCTACCTAGGATTATTGACGGGAACTTCAATAGGATGTGAAGATTTTAAAGAATCAAGTTGAAGACCTTTTTGAAATCCTTCAGTTACAAATCTATTAGAAATAAATTTAATAAATTTAATTATAAATATATGAAAACATAGATATAAGAAGATATACAGGGGATAACTTACTGTGTCCAAATATCCCAATCAGGAAAGATTTTATCAATAGCCAAATATCCAACCCAAGTAGCAAACCCTTCATTAAGCCAAAGATGATCCCACCTAAAATTATTATCGTTATCATTACCAATTCATACCAAGTTTTAGAATATATTATTATTATAAAAAAAACTAAATAAATTTTAGCTACCATTCCATGGTTACAAGGTTTCCGAACCACTTAAAATATTATATAAGATATACGGTATTGATAAAAATAAATAATTTGTAGAAGGAACAATAAATGTATACATCATTGATTTACATGACAAAGAACTTTTTACCTGATGAGCTAATTCGTGAGAAACTGTATAACCAATTCGTTGTTTAAATTTTGCGTCAGATTGTTTTGGATCAAACAATATAGCAGCAGTACGGTATGTAATCAAACCCCAATTCTCCATAGCACCTAGAAAGCAGGAAATTTAATAAATTTAATACCGCTTTAAATAAGTATTTAATGAATTAATTAATCAGAACCTTACCAGCTTCAAAATCAGGAATAGCAACCATATCCAACTTTGGTAATGGATATGGGATACCAAACACTATACAAGTAATTAAATAAAAGGATGGTTATTAAGTAAAGATGATAATTGGGGTTTTTAGTGAGAAAAATATAAGCATATAAATATATATACCTCCAGCAAAATATTCTAAAACCTCAACCGCAACATTTAATGCAAATTCACCATTTTTTTCATTGCCTCGAGTAGCATAAACTCTGATCTGAACAGGGTTTCCAGCATTATTTACTCCATTAGTTTTTTTCTCGACATAAGCGAGATCGCCAACAACGAATGCAAGCAACTTTATATGAAAAATAACAATTATTATCAATATTAAAAATATTTTAATGATCAATTTCTATAAATAATTACATACATATGTGCTCATTATTGGAGTTTTAGCAAACATGACTTCTTTTTTACCATCAGCAAGAGGTTTTTCCGAAATAACGTTCATATTGCTCAAGGCGGTCAATTCTGAAGGAACGATTAATGTTATATCAAAAGTAGCCTTGATTGCTGGCTCATCCCAACAAGGGAAAGCACGACGAGCATCAGTTGCTTCAAATTGGGTAGTCACCAAATATCTAAACAATTTCAAAAAAAAATCAAACAATAAGCACACAGATTCCATAATTCAATGACTATTATTTAAAAAAAAAACAACCTTTTATTTCCAGATTCATCAACATAACTAGAACGATAAAATCCGGCCATTTTGTCACTCAAAATACCAGTAAATTCAATATGCAAGGCAGCTTTTGTACCAGCAATAATTTCTTTTTGAAAAGTTAAAGTTACA